AGGGAGAATTTATGCTCATGATTGCAAACTTCAACATAGGTTTGTCTGACAAGCCAAGGTTCATATCTCCAGTGCGAAGAATGAATAATAAAGTAATTGCATTTATATAAATGCAATTGCTCCAAGGAAGAGACCCCTATACAAATAATTTTGACAGATGTCTGAATCTTGCTCAGTGAATATCAAGCATAAATTCTCCCTTGGGTAAAAAAAGAAGAGAAAACAACCAAAAGAAAAGAATTTCGTGACAGCAACCTTACTACTTGTGGAAGATGTTCAGAACTGATTAGAGCAGTGTTTCTCAACCTTGGCTACTTGAAGATGTCTGGACTTCAACTCCCAGAATTCCCCAGCCAGCGAATGCTGGCTGGGGAATTCTGGGAGTTGAAGTCCAGACATCTTCAAGTGGCCAAGGTTGAGAAACACTGGATTAGAGTATTCTATATTCTCACCAAAATGAGTATTGATACCAGATTATTCTTACATTTTCAGAATGGAGCAGAGCTCTACTCCTGATTGCAGGACTCAAAGCAATCTTACACAACTAGCAACTGATATTTTATCTTCTTTCCAAAATGTCAAAGTATCATCAATTCATTGAAGGGAAAGGTTAGAAGAGATCAAGTCCAACTCCCTGCTCACTTCTGCCTGTCTTACACATTGGCAAAAAAAATCAGAACACAAAATACAAGCGGGGTGGGCATGACCTTGTAGGTGACCCTCACTCTGTCAGGGACCTTGGAGTAATCATCTCTAATGATTTAAGTGCCAGAACCCACTGTAACAACATGGCCAAAAAGGCATTAAGCGTGGTTAATCTAATCCTGCATAACTTCTTCTCTGGTAATATTGTACTACTAACCAGAGCATACAAAACATTTGCTAGATCAATTCTCAAATACAGCTCATCTGTCTGGAACCCGCACTGCATAGCAGACATTAACACCATTGAACGAGTCCAGAGATATTTCAAGAGAAGAGCCCTCCACTCCTCTGCTCGAAACAGAATCCCTTATGCCACCAGGCTTCAAATTTTGGGCTTAGACAACTTAGAACTACGCCGCCTTTGGTCTGACCTAAGCGTAGTACATAAAATTATCTGCTTCAATGTCCTATCTGTTAAAGGCTACTTCACCTTCAACCACAACAACACACGAGCACACAATAGATACAAACGTAAGGTAAACCACTCCAAATTTGATTGCAGAGAATACAACTTCAGCAACAGAGTGGTCAATGCCTGGAATGCACTACCTGACTCTGTAGTTTCTTCCCCAAATCCCCAAAACTTTAACCTTAGACTGTCTACTGTTGACTTCACCCCATTCCTAAGAGGTCTGAAGGGGTGTGCATAAGCACACCAATGGGCCTACCATCCCTGTCCTAATGTTCCCTTTGATTTGTATCCATTTCATGTATTCAAAAATCATATTTATACTTATATTTGTTATCTAATACTTGTTTGACGAAATAAGTATATAAATGCAAATAAATAAATATTCTCCATGTAATTGTTTTTCAATCATTGTGTTGGTTCCAATACTTTGTACCCTGATGTTCCTCAATTTGCCAGGACTATTTATCAGCAACTATTTCTTTGAACCCTTCTAAAATGTCATTATGATAATATCTCACCACTTTACCTCCTCTCAACCTCTGTTCTGATTGCCTTCCAATTTTTACAGTCGTCTTCAGTATTGCTTGCTTTCACATTATGTATCTATATTTAAACCTTAGCCTCATGGTTACAGCCTCCAAGAACTTGTCTGATTTTAACATCTGCTTGTCTTGAAATATATGTTCTTCTTGCAGTCCAAGGTATTTTCTCTAATCTTGCTCACCTTCACAATTTGAAGACATCAATGTTCCTCCTTCAGCCTTTTTGACAATCAAACTTCTCTAGCAGTTGGTTTTAGGGTTTTATGATTCAGACAACCATATACACCTTTGCTGTCAATGTGATGGATCTGTATCTTAACATTTTGTCTAGATTTGTCATAACGCTTCTCCCAAAAGTGGTTATTTCTTAATTTCATGGATGCAGTCACTATCCATTTGAATGTTTGAGCATAGAGGAACAAATATCCTAGTAATTCTTCATCTATTTGAAATGGGGTCTCATTTCTTGCTGACTCCATGCTAGTTTTAGCTCTTCAGAGATTCTGAAACAAAGATGATGTCTGACTGCAATCACTTTTCCTGTAGGCTAAACTGGAACAGTGGTTCCAACTTTACCCCTTTGGAAGGATTGTCTTTAAAGTTCCCTTATGTACTGTATTTTTTGAAGCATAAGATGCACCTTTCCCCCCAAAAGAGGGTAGAAATGTTGGTGCATCTTATACACTGAATACAGCCATTTTTGGCCTTCCGAAACCCCATTTTTTATGAAAAATGGGCGGAAAATGGGCAGTTTTTTGGAAAAACTGGGGCATTTTTGTCTTCCCCCACTGCCCAGAAGCCCTCTGCAGGTTTCCGCAGGGCTGGGGGAAGGGAAAAATGCCCCCGTTTGGGTGAAACACGGGGGTGTTTTTGCCTTCCCCCAGCCCTGCTAAAGCCTGCAGAGTGCTCCTGGGGGCTGGGGAGGACAAACACTTTTTTTTCTTACTTACCTCTTCGAAATCTTGGTGCGTCTTATACACCGGTGCGTCTTATAATCTGAAAAATACGGTAACTCTCCTCTGGATGCATTTCATTTTGTCAATGTTCTTTCTAAAATAAAGCTGTGTCCAGGAATTTAGAGTTCACCTTGGGTAGGATATGAACAGGTCAGTAAGGAGGAACTTAGAAAAGACATACGATTGAAGAAAGCGTGAGAGAGAAACTCAATATAACTCTGCCTTGATTTTATTTCATATCTGATGAGACAGAGAGAAAGTTGGGCAGTCCTTCAAGGTTCTAGTCTTCTGCCTAAATACAATAAATAATGTTCTTGGAATCTCTGCCCTGCCTGTTTCTTAATCTGGCCTACCATTAAAGAGTTGAGATCAATCATATGGCTTTTGGATATTGTTTTCTCAGAATAACAGAGTGTGAAGGGACGTTAGTTTCCATCCATTATTTCTTGTCCTAATGGTGCTTTGGAGAATAGATTGACCCCAATCTTCCTCGTGGCAGTCCCTCAAATATTGGAACACTGCTATTCATCTCATGTGGGCTGGACAGGGACTGCCAATGCACTGGGTGTGGCCTGGGGGCTATAAAACGCCCAGGTCTGCATTAGACTAAACTGGGTTTAGGTGAAGGTTCCCCTCACACATATGTGCTAGTCTTTCCCGACTCTAGGGGGCAGTTTTCATCTCTGTTTCAAAGACGAAGAGCCAGCACCCTCCGAAGACATCTCCATGTCTGTTTTACATGCTTTCAAACTGCTAGGTTGGCAGAAGCTGGGACAAGTAGTGGGAGCTCACTCCGTTACGTGGCACTAAGGATTCGAAGTGCCGAACTGCTGATCTTTCTGATCGACAAGCTAAGTGTCTTAACCACTGAGCCTCTATGTCCCGTAAACTGGGTTTAGCAGAAGATAATTCCTTGCATTCACACTGAAGTTCAGCAGGTACCAACTCCTCTGTGGAGGAGCGTTAAACTTTTATGCCCTCCTTTACAGCAATACAAGGATGATGGAAAGCATATATAGTATATCTGTGCAGTAACATAAACCGATTAAAGCCTTGCAGTTAAATACATTGAGGTTATTTTTTCCCCACATGCTTGCACATTAATTCTCACATATGGAATGTAGTTCTAATATTTCCATGTTTTGTCTGGTAAAGGGGAGTGAGCAGAGAAACATGCTCCTTGTTCTGGTCTGACCAAGCAAGTATCAAATAATTGATAGAGTGTAATCAAATTCCGTATGCACCGGGATCTGGATGCTGCAACAGCAGCAATATCACCTTTGTCTGACACCTGAGAAGTGTGATGACAATGCCTAGAAACTGAAAATAAACTTTGTACTTTACTAGCTGTACACGTTCAGAGCATCGACTCCCAGTCCAATTTTAAAGTCAACCCTTTCTTTGCAGGTATTAGAATCATACAGCTGGAAGGGACCTTGGAGGTCTTCTAGTCCAACTCTTGCTCAGCGAATATCAAGCATAAATTCTCCCTTGGGTAAAAAAAGAAGAGAAAACAACCAAAAGAAAAGAAAAATTTCATGACAGCAACCTTACTACTTGTGGAAGATGTTCAGAACTGATTAGAGCAGTGTTTCCAGCCTAAGGCAGGAAGCAACAATGCTCGTCACAGAGAAAAAAATCCATGATGGCTTGCTTGCTTATTTGGTTTGTATTCCACTTTGGATGACAAGGGAGTTTGCATAGTTTTTTTTAGAGTTTTTTTAGAGTTTTATTGAATACTTATAGGCCGCCCTTTTCCCTGAGGGGACTCAGGGCGGCTTACAATAATGAGGGAGGGGAGTGCAAGACAAGACATAAAAGAAAATGTGAGTAAAAAATAATAACAATAAAAGCACAACATTCACTCAGCATTCGGGCGGGGAGAGAGTAAAGTCCTATCCCCAGGCCTGACGGGATAGCCAGATCTTGAGGGCTGTGCGGAAGGCCTGGATGGTGGTGAGGGTGCGGATCTCCACGGGGAGATTGTTCCATAGCGTCGGAGCTGCAACTGAGAAGGCTCTCCTCCGCGTAGTCGCCAGTCGGCACTGACTGGCGGATGGAATTCGGAGGAGGCCTACC